TTTCAAGCATTTCCAAATCACAGGTGCTTCTTTAAATCTATCATATCCATGATAATACTCTGTTCTAAACATTTTTTTCTCCCAGAAAAGCTGGATTCTTAATATCAACACTGCATAATGAAAGATATTTCTTATTGTACTGTGGTTGATGGATTAAGATAAATAATGAGAACTGCTGCCCCCAAAGCAGAATTCAAACTGCAGACACATTTCATTTAACCTGCAGAGTTTTTCCTTACAGTATGACCCCCTTTTCCACAGGGGACAGGTTCCCAGTTGGACTGCAGTTAGTTGTAACAACTGCATTAAATAATATGACTTTTGGTCCTGATATACCATAGAGTTGTGTGGGAGGACTTAGAGATTCCCAAGGAGACATATTGGATTTTTTTTCAAAGATAGGTAGGGGGAATCCTTCCTTCCACCTGGGTTAATATTTTATGGCACATACCGATGGAAAGCAGGGTCAGAGTCCATCCAACCTCACACTCTATCCATCCTCACACTAACAAACAGTCTACTGAGTCTATCCAGGGAGAGAGGGTAGGTTAAAAATAAGTATTATTATTCATCTCCCCTCCCATTTATGCACACTCTATTCATTCATTCTTCTTTTATGTCCTGAGTTCAACCAGCTATTCCTTGGCCCTATTCCAATTAAAAGATCAATTACCTGGCTATGCTCCATTCAGGCTCAATACGTTGAACTTTGGGATCATCGATGTATTCAAACTGCAGCGTGCTCTCTAGGTGAGCACGGTCCACGCTGACAGAGACATGTACAGTGCCAAGACCATGGGTTGAAGGTGCAGAAACACACACAATCTCATTGATAGACCTCCTGTAAGGAAGAGGGGACAAGGAGTTATACCCTTGATAAGTAGGAACACAAACAAAGATATTACTCTTAAAATTCATTTAATGTGCACTGATTGTATGAATTGGGCCCTTTGGTTTCATTCTCACAAGCAAGCATGACAAAGTCATCAGGGAGACATACCTACATAATACAGTAGAGTCTCGCTTATCCAACCTTTGCACATTCAAAGTTCTGTATTATCCAGCTTAGTCTGCCTTCCACCTGGATCCATAGCTGTTTCAATACATTGCAATGTTTTGGTGCTAAATTTGTAAATACAGTAATTACTACATAACTGCTTTGGAACGGCCTTTTCTGTTGATTTGTTGTAAAACATAATGTTTTGGTGCTTAGTTTGTAACATCATAATGTAATTTGACATTTAATAGGCTTTTTTTAATCCCTTCTTATTTTCCAACATTTTCACTTATCCAATTCTCTGCCGGCCTGTTTATGTTGGATAAGTGAGACTCTACTGTATATGGAAGTTACTTAATAGCTCAGGAACATGAACACTCCAGTATACCCTTACACATTTCATAAATGAAAACTGAGATGCAGCTATGCAACTTCAGGGTGTGTTTAAGATACTAAATGAAGCAGAACACATAAACTGGTAGAAGTGGTAACTGTTTGCTTTTGCTTGAACTTATTGGGTGTGATTCTATCCCCTTCAATTCACCTCTTGAATCATATGATTCCAAAGTTCTTTTGGATTTTAATCTCAGTAGGCATCCATCGAAAGTTAAGGATAAAAGGGGAAAGTAGGGAGAGAGAAACTGGGGCATTTTAAAAGGGCCTGGAAAGTATGATGACAAATATTAAATGGGATTGTTCCTGCCAAATTGGGACAATCGGAGGGAATTCCATAGCATGGATGCAAAAGTGTTGTCATTTTGAAGGGATGGCAATTGCTGCAGTCAACAGACACAACTGCTTATAATGTTTTGGATTAGAATTCAAAATCTGGGGTTGAGATTTAAACATCCAGGAACATGTGATAGAGTTCTGATTATATAATCTTGGAAGGCACATGAGAGGCAGTTTGCTTGTAAAAGCACCTCTGTATCTCCCTCCTAGTTATGTTGAGATGAAAAACAAAACTTCACAATGAAAATGCATTTGGGAGTAGAAATTGGGTGTGAAATCCACACTGTTTTTGTATGTCTGTTCTGTCTGATGATTTATTTATTTTCAATAGGTTTTTTTTTCATGTCAGGAGCAACTTGAGATACTGCAAATCACTTCTGGTGTGAGAGAATTGACTATCTGCAAGGATGTTGCCCAGGGGGCTCCCAGGTGTTTTGATGTTTTACCATCCTTGTGTAAGGGTTCTCTCATGTCCCCGCATGGGAGCTGTAGCTGACAGAGGGAGCTCATCTGCACTCGGATTTGAACCTCTGACCTGTCTGTCTTCAGTCCTGCAAGCACAAGGGTTCAACCCAGGGGTCCTCAAACTAAAGCCCATGGGCTGGATACGGCCCTCCAAGGTCATTTACCTGGTCCTCGCTCAGGATCAATCTAAGTCTGAAATGACTTGAAAGCACACAACAACAGCAACAACAATCCTATCTCATCACCCAAAAGCAGGCCCACCCTTCCCATTGAAATACTAATAAGTTTATGTTTGTTAAAATTATTCTTCATTTTAATTATTGTATTGTTTTAAGTGTTTTTTGCAAAACAAATAAGATATGTGCAGTGTGCATAGGAAGTCATTCATATTTTTTTTTCAAATTATAACCCAGCCCTCCAACAGTTTGAGGGACTCTGACCTGGCCCTCTGTTTAAAAAGTTTGAGGACCCCTGGTTTAACCTATTGTGCCACCAAGGGCTCCTGTTTTTAATAGTATGCCTATGGGTTATTTTCCCCTTTGGCAAGAAGGAAAGATCAGCTTCTCTCCTCCCTGATTTCCAAAAGGATTAGAATAGGAAAACAGAATAAAAAAAATCTACCAGTCCATTTCCACTTCCGATCAAAGTCTAAGTCCGAAAAAATGTACTCATGGAAGTTAGTGAAGAAACACTGCTGTTTGTGCAAAAGCAATGCCATTCACCCACACAAGAATTTCACCTAAAAGTACCAAAATCTGAAAAATCATTTTATACATGTTCAAAAATTATCCCAATCCTTTACAACTTTTTAGCTTTTCCTGCCTTGCAAGTATGAATAAAATAAATCCTAATCTTCTTATTTGATTCTGCCCTTCATTTACTCACAATGAACCTTAAGTTGTTCTTTCACTCAAAGAAAAAAAATGATGATGGGGTCATAGCTTTTCCTGCAGGATAGAAATGCAGTTTATGAGGAGAAAGGTGATTCTGAGCAGGAAAAAATAGAGTTAAATGAGTGTTGACCACTCTCATTTCCACTGCGTGTGTGTGAGAGTGAAAAATCTATCTATGGAAAGAGAAGAACCACCAGGTGTTATTTTTAATTTGGCTCAGAAATAAACCGCTGGCAAATGAATGTACCATCTTACACTTTATCATTTTCAATGTTCTTGGCCATCTTAAATAATGCTGTAATACACCTGATTAATCATAATAATTAATGCTTTTACTACCTGGATCAGCTATGGTATGAGATGCAAGCATGGTAAAATGATGAAATATGGGTCTCAGGCCAGTCTGTAGTGCAATGCTTGTCCCTTTCTCTTTGCAGTGAGAAAAGCACAAAGAAGGCCTTCAACAAAAAGTTGCAGTATGGAGTGCTCTGTCCACTCAGCTGCATCTTCATTCCATTTTGAGTCTCAGTCGGTTTGCTCACCACTATGGTCAGCTAGAATTAGGTGGTTCTTGAACTTGCTCAGTTCTTGCTGGGTTGCTTTTGAATCAATCTCACATTAATACTCTTGGTGTTCCTGCATAACTTTGTATTTCTCAGATGCAGATTAAAAGTCAAAATGTTTGTTGTTAAGATGCAGAATTTATGTTGCTCCTGCTCAAATTATTACACAACCACTTCACTTCTATTAGAAGGGATTTGGGATTGGTATAAGAAGTAATTAAGGGATGCATCTATACTATAGAATCAATGCTGTTTGAAATCACTTTAATTGCCATGGCAAAATGCTATGGAATCCTGGGAGTTCTAGTTAGGTGATGCACTAGTGTTCTTTGGCATAGATGGCTAAAGACTTTATGAAGTTTCAACCTCCATGAATCCATAGCATTGAGTCATGGCAGTTAAAGTAATGTCAAACTTCATTAAGTCTACAGTGCAGGTGCACCAACAAAAGGAAGGAGTTATTTTATACTCCTTTTGATCTGATGCGACACTTTCCCCCAAAATGGAGAAGGAAACTTCCATCTTCCAGGCAGCTTAGAATTGGGGAAGGGAGCTTAAAGAACAAAGAGTGAGGGAAGGATAAGGATGAAAGATGTAAAAGTAAATAGACTAAATAGCAATGGGTAGAGTGACAGCTTTTTGCAGCCAGTTCCCCTTAGAGCTGAATGATTCCCGGCCATTCCCTGCCACGTCTGTTTTCTCACCGCCAGTGGCCCCGTCTCAGTACTGGCATTTCTGAATGCTAGAGACCAGACTTCAGAGAAGCCTGCTTAGCCCTTGTGCGAGATCCAAAGCGACACATCACTGCTGGCAAAGAGTTACTGCAAGCTCCCTGTGATCAGTTAATTAGCTTTCTGCGCTATTACCATGTCGTCATGGTGAATCTCCCTACTCCTCCGATCAGAGGCAGGAGAATAGAGAGAAGCTGTAATTATAGTGAATCTCATTAGAAACTGCTTCATCTAATCAGTCTCCCTGCACATCATGAGTACATGCCAAGTTCATCACCTACAAACCATGCACTAAAAGAGAGAGAAGAGAAGAGGGGGTGGGGAGGAATAAACAGTGTTATGACCTTGCATGGAAAGGCAGTAATAAACATTATACTACTAGATTCTTGGCAATAGCAGTTTAATGGTTTGTATGAAGTAATTAAATAATGCAATGAATCAGGAGCAGTGTCTAAATGTAACCATATATTTAGAGAAATTGTTTTTCTAGAAAAAAAGTTTTTAACAAATCAAAACAGAAGTCCTGCATATCATTATAAAATAATTGTTTTTATTGCTAGGAAAGCAATACTTCAATAGCTATGTGTAATGGATTAGCCTACCTTACAAGATTGGTGTACAGGTAGTAACAGGCCTGGCTTGGAAAACTAAGGAGAGCAGGGGGCAGGGGGAGCAATCAGACAGCTTCATAGCTTGTGCAGTCTGATTGGCTGAGGAAATTGAAGGGAGTCGCTTAGCAACCAGAGATGGGTGGAGCCAGAGGAAAAGAAAGAGCTATGCAGTCAGAGTTTTGTCAATTGGGAGTTGGAGTTTGGAATTGGAAGAGAGAGTTAGTTTAGGAGATTTGAAGGTGAAGGAAGAGTTTTAGGAACTGTTAATAGAAAGATACCTCTTTAAGGAAAGTAATTAAAGCCTTCAGGGAGAAGGAGTAAAATAATATAGTGGGCCTCTATAGTTTTAGAGTGCTGGTGTTGAAGCCTCAGAGAAAGAGGATTCAAAAGGTTTTAAACAACCTGTTTGTATTCCTGTGCCATTTTCTGTATAAGTAAATCCTGACAGCTTATCGAAACCGTTATGCATCTTCACTGTTCAAGAACAAAATAAACATCATTTTCTTGTTTTTATTTCATCTGAAGAGTACGTATATCTTCTTGAACCTAGCAAGGAGGTGGCTTATGGATCAATAAATGATGGCAGCAAAATAAACCTTAATAATAAATTGGTGGGAGCAAAGAAATATGTAACACTGTAATCTCTCTCTCTCTATCTATCTATCTATCTATACACACACACACACACACTACAGTTGTAGCATTTCCCTGTCTTTTCTTGTGTCTCCTGTCATTCAGCCTCGCCAGTATCATCTCTTTGCACTATACACTCAGTTTAATACCAAAAGCCTTGAGATTTAAATGGTTGAAAGGTGGGGCAGTTTAATGTTTTAGATTTCTCATTAACTGGAAGTACAGAAGGTTGAGAATTTCATTTCAGCTTGTTTTTCCCCAGAACTTCTCAACATTTAAAATATTTTATGGATTATGTGGAACAGAAAAAATAAATTTTCCAGATCCTAACATAAGGCATCTAGAAGATTACAAATATTTCCCTTCTGCTTCATGTTGCCAGATGTTCCTACCAATAAGAAATAAAGGACAGAGAACAGTGTAAAGTTTTTCACAAGAGAACTTTGGCTACTTCTGTTTTTATCCTTTCCCATAATGGATTCTGTTCTGCAAGTACACTATGTGTCAGAATACCTATAACTTCATAGGTATTTTTAGGAAGAAAATATAAAATGATTTTATTTCTTACTCGAGTTCTTAGCATCTGAAAGTAAGGTAATAACTAGCAGAATTATGGTCAGCTTTAGTCTCACTGAATTCATAGGGCTTATGCCGGAGTCTGGACATTTTACTGCTTGAAATACATCTCCTAGAATCCTTCAACCAGCATATATTACTTCATTTGAATTTAGTCCAAAATATTGCCCATCAATGGAGGTTCTGCCAAATTATTATTTTACAATGGATATTAATCTCCAGATGTCTTAGGTTATTACAAGCTGTTTTAAATTTATTTATCTGTCTATTATGGGCAGTCTCCAAGTTACACATTTTTTAGGTTTCTTATTTTGAATTTGTATGTAAGTTGGAACAGGGACATTTTTAAAGTGTAACACCAGCCATATAAATACAGATACACACACACACACACACACTTTGGATAGCATAGGGAAACATTAACACTCCTATGGTGTTTGTTTTGCTGTCTGATAAGAAGATTTCACCTCACTTTCCTTCCCTGTGATAATTGGATTTTGAAAATGTGGCTTGTTGTGGAAACAAGGATTGATGATAAAGCTTCAGTGGAGACACCTTTTCCCCATGATAACTCCTTCTGTTGTGAATTTCCATCCTAGGGGTAGATTTCTCACCTTCGTTTGATATTATGAGTCACTTGTAAGCCAAGTATTTGTAAGTCAGGTACTGTCTATATTTTATTGAATTTATATTCTACTTATGGAATTCAAGACTCTATTCAGTTTTTGTATTCGTTTTTTACAGCTGGGTTAAACCCTCCCAAAATTAACAAAGTTAACAAAAATATTTTAAAAATAGCATTATCTGTTATGTACAATTTGTTAGAGTTGTATATACAAAACAATATTAAGAAATGAGAGGGGCAGCCACGCAAAAAACTTAAGATTCAAATTCAAAACACTGACCTACGACTTTTGGACTTTTGGGTGAGTTATGCAAGTCTCGTAAATGCCTCCAGATCTCCATCTCAGGTGCTGCTTCTCCCCCAAAAGAGCTGGGCTTGGTTCCCTCAAAGGGCCCTGAGGAGGATGGTGATGCTTGAGTGGAGGAATAAGCTCTGCTTTTCCCCCAAAAAGTAGCAAGGGGTGGGGGGGGGGAGAGATGCCTGGCTGGATGGTCAGGCAAGAAAGAAGATCCATCACCCAAAGAGAGAGGCAGAGACCCCACTCAGATTGAAGTTTTAATGCAGGAAGTGAGCGGAATTCTGGGAAATGTAGTTTAGCCCAGGGCCCTTTGAATTCTCTTGTGCTTCTGATCTGGAGGCAATGCAGTACCTGAGTTTTGAAAGTAACTTCTCCAACTTGAGAGAGGGAATACCCAAGCGCTTTAATGAGGGAAGTAAGCAGAATTCTGGGAAATTTAGTTTAGGACAGTGCCTTTTGGATTCTCTGCCACAGGAGTCTATGCCTTCCCAAACTTAATTTCCCAGAATTCTGCTTACCACCTTGTGTCGCCTCCCTCCTCCTCCTCCTCCTCCTCCTCCTCCTCCATGTTCGTTCTCTAAAGGGATTTCGAATAAAAAGGGATTGTTGGGAATTGAATCAACCCTGTGAGGTAAGCAAAGTTGAGCGGCAATAACTCCAAAGTTTACTCAGTAGGTTTCCTGTTGTTGTTGTTGTTGTTGTTGTTATTTCAATGACTGGATGGGCATCTGTTGGGGTTGGCTTGACTATTTTTCCTGCCTGGTAGGATAAAGGGGGCAAAAGGCAGAGCTCTGTACAGGTCAGTTCTGCTGCCGGACAACAATTTCTGAGATAGCGCCTACATAAGTCCAGGCTTAAAAGGACACCTGAACAGCAAAGCCTGTGAAGAACAGATGTAATCTAAAGATATGAAAGGAAAGGGCCGGTAAAATTTAACTAGGCATAGTCTGTTTTCCTTTTTATCTGTTCCAGAGGTATAAATGAACCACTTATTGAATGAAATGAGGAAATACTAACTGTTAAATCTTATCCACTCATTAATATGCCATCCTTAATTTACTTCTTCCCAGTCCAGGCATAAAATGGGTGCAGGGATGTTTTATTGCTTGAGAAGCTAGAAAGAGCAGTGATTCTGATATAGAATGCCTCCACAATGCAGCTTGAGATAAACTGGCTTTACAGTAGGTAAAAGGAAATCGTTTCCTATTTCACTAAATTCCCAAGACGTAACTAACAATCAATAGTTCCGGTGGGGAGAACTGGCTAAATGCTACATCCTAACTTTCTCCTATATGGTTCTAAAATCTCCTTTTCATCTTCAAGGCCAAAATGCCAATGCCTTGGGGTTTTTCTATAATTATATATCTATATATTCAAAAGTCTTCCTTTTCTGGATTTTAGTTCCCAAAACTCTCAATTAGTGCCATTTTAATCGTGATGTGAGGAAACTGGAGAACAGCATAATAAACTTTCAATCTCTTAGACCTGCCTAATATAGAATTGAGAAGTCATTTTAGTATTGTGTATTATACTATCAGTAGCTCTTCGGGAAGTATTTCTCAGTCAACTTGGAGAAGCTAGGAATGAATCTGAGGTTCATGGATCATGCAAGGCTACATCATAAACCTTCAAACTATATCCTGATATCCTATACAATCTTATAAATGTGTTCTTCATACTAGGCTTTCAGGAGAAAAAAATCAACTCTAAGATTTTGAATCTAGATTATTTGCCTCTAACTATGAAAAATCAGAAAGAACTTTTCATTTTCATTGAATTCTATTTATACACAGTACACCAATACTCTGCACATAAATTCCCAACATAAAGATAACAATTTTAACTCAGATTGACTTCTACTGAAAGTAAACCTAATCGATCAGTGGAATACAATGGAATTTGACAAAAAAAATGAAGCTTTCATTATGATTCATGAGCGATCACTTGTAATCAAATATGATTGTCTTCCAGGGGTAGAGTTTTGGCAGTGGAACGATAAGTGACTGCAAAGGCCTGTTATGGATCATCATGATTAATTCAAACTTCAATGTGCCTATTTCCACTGTTTTCCATGGGATTGCTTGAGCCTTGTATGGATCTAGTACAGCTGCCCATATCAAACAGAAAAACACCCACCCACCTTTATTTATGCTGGTTATCTCCATAAAGTATCCTTTACATGATTACATAAGATAAAAATGTTGAAAACATAAGTGCTGAATATTGTAACATGTCTTTCAAAAGCAAATAATAGCAGCAGAGAGAAACAGCAGCTCAAAAGTTAAAGGTTTTGGAAGGAGGAGAGAATTAGTAATAGTTACATAAATTTAAATAAAGATTTAGAGCTACTGAAAACAAACAGAAAAAATTAAAGCCGTGTCCTTGTCATTCAAATCTCCTCTCCCCCCGAATTATGCTATGGGTGAAAAGGAGACACACATACTTCTATCACCATAAGTCCAACAAATATCTTATAAGAAAAAAAAGAAAATGCCTGCTATATTCCTAGGATTAATTTTTATCCTGGGATGGAGAACATTTAAAGGGATTTTGACACACCAGGATATGGCTAGGATTTAGAAAGGAGACAGGGTTGTTATCATATGAAAATATAATGTGATAGAAATTAATAAACATTAATTTAGTTCTTTGTCATGAAACACTCATCACTGTCAGCGACACTTTAGCCTAAGTTCATTAATAAGAGCTTAGACATTTGTAGCTGGAGAAGCTTAAACACTGCTAGTGGGAGCACAAAAGAGATTACTAAAACGCAACCAGAAACACACACAAATATGTATGCATGCTATTGCCCTCTTACTCATAAAATTCGCAGGTCTGGTTACCCAGGAAAACCGACACACTGCTGCCAGCCCCCAGAAAATAGCCGGTGATGGTCACCATGGTCCCTCCTGACTCTGGTCCACGGCTGGGACTCAGGGAGCTCACTGCAGGATTCTTTGGAAGAAAAAGAAAAAGATTGTTTGCTTTCATTGGATGTTCCAAAACGTATTATTATTATTTGATTTGATTTCTCTCCCTGTGGCTTGAGGTGAGTTACAACAAAATTCAAAAAATGCAAACACTGCAAAAATTCAACAAATATACATTTTTCTATAAAAGATCCCCATTAAAACTGCATTTCAATAAAATACATATTAAAGTACACACAACAGATACCAAAGGACATGAGTTTAAGAGTCATAGTTAAAAACTGTCTGAAGTGTCATGGACAGATCACTTTCTGGTCAGGGCTAGTAGCATGGCTACAACAAGCCAGCACCCTCATCTTTGAGGAGATCATAGATGATATGAGTCTTGTTTTTCACTGACCTGGCATTACTTAAGAGCAAGGAGAGGTTTTGTAGGTGGTCTGGCTCACCCTCCAAGTTCCTCAGGCTGGCAGGTTGACTGGAAGGTGAGATCAATATTAAATACCTTTCTCTCTTTCCTCTATAAGGACCTGTAACCCTGCTATCACCATATCACCTTCTGCCTTGTATGACCTATATTGCCACCCCAGGTTCTATATACATTGAATTAAAAGCAAATAAACTAAGATATACTTCTGTTGATTGAGGTAAACCAAGAAGGACCATTAAATGAAGGCCTTCCTTTCAGCAATTGTATGGCCATTCCAGCTGAGTGATTCTTGGAATTGTAGTCCCCAGAACTAACTGTTCAAGTCACTAGTCAAAGGAGCTTGCTGGTGCTATTATGTTGTGTTATTTAAAAAACAAACAATCAAACAAACAAAACCACCCAACACTATCGTAATGAATAAAATAACAGAAAAGTTCAACTTGAAGTTCTTATTTCTCTTAATTGTCTCGTTACTTTTTCTGCCATGAGGCAATGTTTCCATATGCTCATGGTTTTCAGAATATTCTTTGTAGAAACAGCTATGAATGCATATTTATATGTGTTTGTGTGTACATGTGGCATGAAATGTGAAGGAATTGGAAATGATGTTGCTTTGAAGAAGGTGTTTCGACTAATGCTGTGCTAGAATAATGTAGTTCAACTGGCAATTGTTTATCTTAAAAAAAAACTAGGAAGAAAGCAGGCACTCAAAAACTGTTTTCATGGATGCAATCAACTTATTCTGCTAATCCTTCTTCCTTTACAGCTCTTATCTGTTGTCTGGCAATATCCCAGATATATTTCCATTTTGGCCCCTCAACAACACAGTGAATACGAGACAGTTCTTCACTGCATTCAGATCACTGCAGTTCCCAGAAGGAATGAAACAAACTGCCATATAAAATTAATGCAGTAGTCAAACTAATCTAGTGGCCTGGCTCTGAAAAGTGACCTATACTGAAGGCTTTGGAGATATTTTCCTCCAGTTTCAGGGGATTTGGAAGGCATTCTGAGCAATAGCTGCAATAATCAGAGTGATCGGTTTTCTCCACAGATGAGACTATCATATATCAGGGCCTGAGTTTTATGATACATAATGATGCTCTAATGGCAGCACTGTAACCTAGGTAGGTGATTGAACTCAGCATAAATAGGTGCTTCTTAGAGCCCCCAGCTGACTTGGTGAATGCCTCTTCTGTGCCATAATTTCTCTCCTTTCTACAATGGGGATAATGATGCTAACTTCTAGAGCAAAATGCTTTGAAATTTATGAATGAAAAGCACACTGGCATTAATATTAAATAGTGCTTAATGTGGGGTGGTTACAGCCCCAAAGCCTACAAAATATAAAAGGCATAATTCTAAGAAATTTGAAGGAACAATTGACAGAATGTCCATTGTATATCAGGACAGACTTTTCACTGTCTGTGATTTCCAGGTCTTTTTTCTTTGTTGTACAGGGGCTTGTGTTTTCATAATAGGGGATCATGTTCTGGTTTTTAAGATTCCTTACCTCGTGACTGTGAATAAATCAAAGGAAAACCAAATTACCCAAAAGTGAATTCCTGTGTATATATGTTTAGCATGTCACAGTTTCACAAACAGGACACGTTTTTAGGGCCTCTGCTTTTAAAATTAAGACTAAAATGTAGAACAATGGCTTGAAATTACAGAAAAGGAGACTCCACCTGAACATTAGGAAGAACTTCCTGACTGTAAGAGCTGTTCAGCAGTGGAACTCCCTGCCCAAGGGTGTGGTGGAGGGTCCTTCTTTGGAGGCTTTTAAGCAGAGGCTGGATGGCCATCTGTCAGGGCCATCCAATGTGATTTTCCTACTTCTTGGCAGGGGGTTGGACTGGATGGCCCAAGAGACCTCTTCCAACTCTATGATTCTATGATTCTTTGATATTATTATAAATATAATTGATTAAATCCATGAAACTAAATAACCCATGATTTTACATTATTGAAGTTAATGTACAAATGAGATTAATTCCCTGTAACAGAGATATGAAATTAGCGTCCCTTGTGCTAAACTAGTTACCTTTCCTTGCTATGGATTCTTATAAATAAAATTTTTAGGGTGTCCAAGCCAGACGTCTTTGCAGACTCTTTTAAATCACTATTTGCTCAATGGGATGCAAGCATCCACAATAATTCACAAGCATTCTGCTGTTCACATATTGATATAACCAGGAATGAATATTATCTTGTATATTCAGGGATGACTTTATCTTGCCAGGAGTTATTGACTTTCACCCAGCTTCAGTCAGCAAGCTACCTCCTTAATGTGTAAACATATCAGATGGAGAAGGATTCTTAAGTAATTAATTTATTACAGTTATAAACTGACCAATAAGCCAAGGTCCCTGGGCATTGTATAAGCAAATTAAAAGTATAAAATATAAATGAAAAACAACATGATAAAATCAGCAATAAAAACAGCATACCACAAAAACATAAAACAAAATAAATACTCAGTAGTGGAAGAAAAAATGATCACATCTAAAAGCATTTTCCTGCTTCTTGGAAGGGGTTTAGACTGGATGGCCCACGAGGTCTCTTCTAACTCTGTGATTCTATGATTCATTAAAAACAATTCTTAAAATGTCTGGGAAAATAAAACATTTTTCACCTGGCATTGTAATATAGGTAATGAGATTAATTTCTCAGGAGACAGCTTTCCAAGATCATGCACAAAAACCGAATAGCTTCTGTCACTTCTAGCTATTATATTCATTTGTTGGGATCAATAGGAGACCATTCATACAATCCAGTAGCAGTACTATAATTCCACTGCCATGGCTCCATCCCACAGAATCCTGGGATTTGCAGATTAGGGAGAAATGTTTAGTGTGCTCAGCCAGAGACCTGTAGTGCCTCTTCAAACTCCAAATCTTAGGATTCTACTAGGTGTAGCCATGGTAGTTAAAGATTAATGATAGTAGAGCAACTGCACCGTGTAAAAAAAAAAAAAGTCCCTGGAAGATAACCTTATGTTCTGAGTATGTAGATAACTAAATGTTCCTGAAGGAATTTGGTTCCAAATTGTTCAAGTCTTTTTGCACTTTCCTGGTTCTGAAAATAAACTGCCAATCTGTAAGATGGAAGAGTACTATTTGTAAAGTGATCACATTTTTCATAGCTAACAATCTAGTCATTCAAGTTTGCACTAGATGGAGAGTCTGAACTGTTTTCAAAATCAACACTGCGGTAACTAAAAAACTGAAGTTATTAGTATAGGAAAAAATTCTGCAAAGCTATTTCTGTGTAGGTGAAAAAAAAAAACCCTGTGAAATCTATAGGGTTGCCATCAGTCATTTTTTAAAAAATCTTTGTGTTCAGGTTAGCTTCCTCCAGGAGGTCCTCTTTGAAAGAGGTTGGTTCTGCACCCTATGAATGAGACTTTATTTCTATCCTGCCCTGTCTCCTCAGTGGAACTCAGGGTGGCTTACAACATAGAGAGAGGCAAACTTTCAATGGCATATAAAAATACGAAATAACATAAACCAAAAAATAAAACTCAATTTACAGTTACACAAGCAACAAAGACAATCAGACAATTGAACACAGATCAACAAATTCACATTATAAATTTAGAGCTTAAAAGCTTAAATTAAAAGCTTTTAAAAGCCAAATCCATATTCCTCTTCTTGTCCATTTGTCCAAAGTATTTCGAGTATGTAACAGAGGAGTTTGTAACAGAGGAGTATGTAACAGAGGAGTCAACCTAGAAGTTCGAAAACATGCAAATGTGAGTAGATCAATAGGTACCGCTCTGGCGGGAAGGTAACAGCGTTCCATGCAGTCATGCTGGCCACATGACCTTGGAGGTGTCTACGGGCAACGCTGGCTCTTCGGCTTAGAAATGGAGATGAGCACCACACCCCAGAGTCAGACATGACTGGACTTAATGTCAGGGGACTACCTTTACCTTTTTTTAACAGAGGAGTTTAGAATCTCTTGGAACTAGCTGAACAGCCAAGGAAGTCACCAAGCAGGCATAGAAAAAGTTGGTTGAACATGACCAAGCATCTTGACCACACTCTCAATCAACTCTATGTGGTGGTTTGGGCAAGTTCCACCACTTCAATGATATGGACTTGAAGCCCGTGATGGTTCTGAGTTAGTTTAACTTGAAAGTATGTCTCTTAAAACTACCACAATATGTTACCTAAGACTCGCTATATTGTGCATTCTCAAATCCGGATCAGAGTGTTTGGAGTTTTGGAGTAGTTATAAAAATGCATCCCTTTTTCTGTCCATGTGTGAGCTATTCTAGAAACAGTGGCATATATATTAATAAATGAATAGACACTATATAAAATACAAAATTATAATAGAAACCAGCAGGAAAAACATCATGTTTCAACCCATTTCAGCCCTACAATTAACAGCTTGATTCCATGCATTTTTACTCAGTTGCTCAAGGAACATACAACATTGCAATGATATCAGAAACATTAGGATATTTAGTAAAGAAGTGATGGCCAAGGAATGGAGAGAAACTATTTTTTTTCCTTCAACATTGGGTCCCTAGTCAACAAAGAAGCTGGAACAATTTCATTGTTGGAACATTAATAATTCTGTCCTGC